CTTTTAAAGGGAAATTCTGAGAAAAAATACTAGTTTCCCTGAAAGGTTATTGAAGTCAGTTGGAAAGAAGTTATTCACTTCTGCATGTCTTAAATGAGTTGTAGTGAACCCTTTCAGAGGATTTTTAATAAAGATATGCATCTAAAATTAAGTAACAGTCTAGAACAAACAGCAAGCAGTTGTTGCAACAAGGAGATGTTGCACAGATTATTTCCTGAGCTGCAAAGGAAGCATAAGAGGGAAGCATTACATGGACAAGTTTTATAAAGAAATCTTTAAACCCATAGCTCTTTACTTGAAAACCAAGAAGTGAGAATCAAAACCTGTCAACAGTATTCTGAAAGGATTTGTACAATGAACAATGTATGTTTCATGGAAAGAAACTTAATTTTCTCAGATTAAAATCTGAGAAATTTCTACATTCATTTTCTCAGATGAAAATATTATGAATACCTTATAAGTTAATTCAAACTGATGAACTAGCAAAATCTATGACAAGGTATTACAAAGAAATTAAAAACATGGATAGAAGAGAGGATACCAAAAAGTAGCCAGGACCAGACACTTAGTGTAAAATAGTCCATCAAGCAATAAGGTAAAGACATATAAAGCTGAGGAAAGGTTATTGAGTTAAGCACTTCTTCAAAATAATTACATGATTTTTTGGTTGACTGGTCGGTTTTAAACATCAATAGATGATTGCAGACTCCTCATGTATTTAATACAGATCAGCCTGAAGAACACACACTGTACTGGGGGAAAAATGGACCAGGAAGATAGTGAACTAAGCATTGTATAAGGTATGTCACTCTCATGTCTGTCATCTTTATTAAGCGTAGAAGACTCAAGTTCACAGAGGAAAACAGTGACTAGCTGGAAAAACTAATCTGCAAAAGCAATTAACTGTTACTTACAAATAAAAACAAAATTATCAATTGCACTTGTCTATTATTTAATTTTTTAGGAATCATGGCATTTTAGCAGCACGATATTTGTAGAAAGAAAATTAAAAGTTTAATGTGGAAATCCTATAGAAATGAAGCTCCAGGTCTGCATGCACAATTATTCCCAATCATTATTTTTGCTTTATCCAGGAACAGACATAATGTGTCCGAGAGCAATTCTGAGTCCTATATGCAGCATCAAGAATCTTACTATAGTGAATGGTTTGGTGTTTACTCCTAGGAAAATAAAGACATGTCAAAAATGCATACAAAAACATAAAACATCCACAGAATATGGGATTTACATTAATTGATTTTAAAAGAGGGGAAACACAGGATAACCGCATCATACATTTATGTTCATTATAAAATGGTTTTGGATTTCCAATAGTGTTAAGCGAAGTAATCTGCAACATTAGTTAATCTTCATTTGTTTACTTTGTTTGCTTGCTTTATTTACTTTGATTTTATTTGTAATATATATTCTTCACATCAGGACCCTGTATCACAGGAATATGAAGTTTATTGCTAACTTTTCTCTATATATTCATATCTCTGACTTGAAAAAAATGTATTATAATTTTATTTCAATTTTAGTTCTCTGTCAATGTCAGTCACTGAATCATGAAACAAAATGGAAAGAAGTCAACTAGAAGTACTTACCTTTAAGCATGGAAAATAATGAGGCAGCAAAACTTCTTGATTATTCTGTTATAATTGAATGGAATACAGCTTATTTGAATTCTTGGAGTAATTAATATTAAACAAATATTTTGTCCAAGTAACACAAATGGTTTCAATACATTACGTTATTCAGCTGTATGAGGATTGGAAAGAATTTGCAGCATCTTCATCACAGATGGAAGTATGAAGGGAAAACTTGTGTTAGAATTGCTAGTGAGGAGAGTTTGTAACCATGTCTTATCACTGTATGCCAACTGCAGCTACTTTAGAGCCACTGTGGAAGATAATTTTTCCACTGCATGGGTTTTTCAGTCTCCTGAGAATTCTTTCATTTGTAAAACAGATTCCTCTCCTCTGTCCTCTTCCAGCCATCAAACAAAGCTTACATGTACAAGGTTTCAAGATGATAAAACTGTTGGTCTAATTTTTCTATAGGTGACAGTAAAATATATTACTGTCACTCTTTCCCCTCTGTCCACTACCAGATACTATTCCAATATTCTCCTCCATCCTCCTGCTGAACAGAACTGATCCAAATCATCCCTTTGAGATGTTCCTGCATTAATTTAGTAATCATATTCAAGACTCAGATGAGTCAATATAATTTCCTTTGGAAAAAATAGTCTGAGGCAATGGAGGAATACTGATTGAGAAATTTAAAAAAGACATTAAAAAAATGTGGAATGATATCCTATGCTACTGACAAGATCAACCTGAAGGTTCAAAGAATTAGTAAGAGCTCTGGAAAATGCGCTAGTCTCTGGTTTTTGAAGATTTTATACACCATAAAAATAAGGAAAATAAAAGAAGAAAAATTTCCTAATCTGAGCTTCATTTATTCTTCTTGCACTGTTCAGGATGTTCCAGGTGAGACAAACATTTTTGCTGGGATCTGTGGGAGATAATTTAACTTCAAGATATGACTGAGGGGATTTCATTGCCTATCTTCCACCATTGCAATGCTGACTTTTATCAGCTTCATGGAAATACTTTTTAACAGCACTTTTTCTCTCTTTCAATTGCCTTTCTGCCTTAGTTCTACTGCATTTTTATTGCCCCCATCTATCCAAGTTATGCCATCAGCAACCACAACAGTTTTTCTGGGAAAAAGATACACATATTTCTAGTACATGGATTCAACATCTGTTTGTTTGTTATCATTGTCTGCAAGTAGATTAATTTCACCAGGGTCACTGAATTTCAGAGTTTCTTGATAAACTTTTTGTACATAATTGCAGCTTGAAATAGGGCTATAAGATAGCTGGAAGGGGAACAATAATGTGAAGGTGTTTCCTCCTGCTTTATTGCATTCTGTCATCTACTGCTGCTACCATTTTCAAAAGAAATCACACAACATGGGCAGATAAAATTCAGGAGGACCACTGCATCTTATCATTTCTTTTCATAAACTGTGTAAGGACAGAATCTTCTCAGAAATACAGCTCTTATTATAGAAACACCAAGTACAAGGGGTATGTACAGCTTAAGATTAACAAAAACTCAAAGGCAAGATCCTAACTATACTCAACAGTAAACAGGACCAAGTCCCATTTAAATAAGAATAGCTAAAATGACAGAGTACAATCCAACAGCTGCCATGAACCTTGCCCAATCATTTATGACTAAAAAATAATTTCCAAATTTCTCCAAAAGAAAGAACTTTTACAGACTGACATACCAGTGATAAGCTCAGATTTTTCTGGATACTGGAATGCCAGTTCTTTTTCTATGGCTTGAAATGTTCTATGTAATATTACATTGCACCTCATTCATGCTACTCTTGACATCATTCTCAAAAGAAAGGCACTCACAACAGCATTTATGCTTTGAAGGAAGAAAGAAAATAGTGCAGCCGAAAGACTTTTCACTGCTGGAGAATGATCACAGTACTCTGAACTCTACTGACATAGTGGTTTACGGTAAATCTGAATGTATCCAACCATGTGAGAGAAAATTAAGACATAGGAAAACACATATGGAGACTTGAGCACTGTAATCAGGATTTTATTTGAATGACTTTCCTAGGGGCTTCAGATAGGTTAAACCACAGATGCAGGAAATTTTAATGTCTTTTGTGTAAAGCGAGTCTATATGACTGACTCAAATGACAAAAGATCATTCCACAAGCAAAGAATCATTCCTCAGTCTTAAGGATGTAAAGGAAAAGCAAGTTTTGAGATTTAATAATAAATATTCAGAAATTTAATCAGATAAGTAGCTAGCTAATCTCCATACTTGTTATACTTAATTTTAATTATATGTTATCTGTTTTTTATATGGATAATAAATATGAGGATTAAATGGTTGGTCAAACACTTGTATCATAATTTCTTGAAGAGTTCATGTGAAAAAATACTTTATGCATACTCAATATGCATTTTTATTCCCTCCTTGATGCCCAAGAGGATTTCAGAAAAAATCAATTTTTTCCTAAAGAACTGCACAGCTTCTCAGAAGTTTTGGATTAGGAAATGTTACAAATTTTTTTTGTGCCTTCATCAGTCTAAACAGACAAACAGAAGAGAACCCAAAAAACTCTTTAGAATGCTAGAGATTTGGAAATTTAGACGAACTAATTAACCACCTGCAATAGGACTCCTGCTCCTTGCAAGTCATGTTTATACAGTCATCCAGTGTTCTCAGAATTTCAAATACCTCTAGGAGGTCCACAGGGCACTGCAAACCTGAGCATACAAAATCAGGCTGGCATTTGTGTTAAACTGTGTAAAGGTATTTTTAACTGGAGAAGGCCTATAGTCTCAATGCATACACTCCCATAATATTTGTCCAGTTCACTTCAGAGTATGGATCTAGATTTACTAGTCATCAGAGAGTGATAATTTGCTGTTTAATTTTGAGAATTCAAGACTATTACAAACTTCTTTTCACTTTTATGCTGTCTTTAAACTCTTCTATTGTTAACAAGGACAATCCCAAATCACAACTAACAATGTGAGAGAAAAATATTTCTTCTTTGAATACAGACTCATTATGTAAAACATAACATGTTTACCTTATGCAAGAGGAAAATTAGCTTTCTGGAGGAAAATGTTCAAGGAGTGAATAAACTCCTGAGAGTTTTCCATTGGTAAAATATATTAATTTCCAGTTTTTAATAATCAAGGTGAACTTACGAATGACTTTCAATTTTCTATCTGTAATAACATGCTCATTGACTGTTATTACACAGTCATTGACAGAAAAATATTTGATGTGATGATGAAGCTTTCAGAAGTCTTCAGTGTATTAAATGTACTCAGATCCTTAGTCATGGAGGACATCAACTGAATGCAATTATTAAACATACAAAGAATTTAAACTCTTGTTGTGCTTATTTTACAGATTAAATGATTTAAATTGTTTACTACTTACCCCTGTTCTTTGAACTTCCAAGAAAATTGCTCTTTGAAATGATTTCTCCCACACTGCCAATTCACTGCCCAGCTCTACGTTGAAATAATGGCTCTTGCCATGTCCAACCATAACACTGAAACAATACGGCCTCTGGTCTTCAAGATCGAAGTCCTGGTGAATACCTAAATACAAGTTTGCTTGTAGCCAGCAATCATCAGCAAGCCAGAGCTGAAAGACATGTTTCAGTATGTGATTCTTCATCTGGCAAAACCAAACAATTGAGGCAACACTGTCTTCTGTAAGTGATGGGTACTTGGATTATACTACGGCATCATGTCAACAATTATGTTGAAGAAATGTTCTAGGAGTTAAATAATTATTTCAAAGACACCTTCTCTCTTTGCTTCTTCTTTGCTTTATGCCCCGTCTTTTAATCCAAGCAACTACTGCAGCTCCAAAGTACTGTCAGAATAATGTAAGCAATACATATATAATTTAAAATGTGTTTGTACCAATATATTGCTTACAGTGAAAAAAGAAGGAAATCCCTGAATGCTACAATACATGCCAAGAGCTGTGTACCAGCTCGACAGGAGGCTATAATTACTCTGTTCTATTTGGGTTCCAATATTCTAAACCCCAAGGAATGCAGTAATTTAACAAGCACCCCAGGGCTAATTCTGGAAATGACAACATGAGCATGTCCTCTGATAGCTGGCAATGCTGTTCTGTAATTACAAGGAGACTGAAGCAAGATCCTGCCATAACCTTCAAGATCAAGAGAAACTTTGCATTAAACTTTCATAATAAAAAATATACCTGCAATAGAATGTTTTGTAAATGCAAACAAAGTACTACAGGAAACTTCCCTAATATTTCAAGACTTCATTGATTAACATAAAGGAAAAGAAAACTAGATTAAAAAGCTACTACTTATATATCTAAGTACTTTCACAGCCTGAATTTCCAAATCACACGTATTTTTATTTTTCTATTTATTAGATAGACCCCTTCCCTATCTCCATTTCTCTGTGATATAATGGGCCAGAAAAGACTGAAACCCCAAAATAATTAGCAATGATTTCTGGGGCATCTTGGAAGCAGCACATATTGCAACCACAGTACACATCACTGTGTTGTCAAAATTGACCCGGCAGCTATCTGAGGAGAGAACCGATTTGAAGAAGCTCACTTATTTTACAACACTCCTTTGCACTGTTGAAAAGGAAGTTGAACAAAATTCCTGCATATATTCTGGTGTTTAGCAGCTACGGAGTGACTTGCATTATATCAGCTTCAAGATTCAGTGCTGCATATCCTGGCTTGTAGATTTACTGTATTAGCTGTTTTAGTTTTTGTTTTTTTGCTGGTTTTTTTTTAATTTGCATGTGAAAATACCAGGCAATAAAAGAAAATAAAATGTTCCTAAGTGACTTTAAAAATGTACATGATTACAATAAGAGTCTGAATTATGAGGCAAGCTAGAAGAATAAACACGTGATGCAAGACATTACATTTCAAATCATCTGGTTGCTACCACCAAATGACCAGAAATATGCAAGGGCATATTTTATATATATATATATATATATATATGCATGAATTTTAATTCACGTATTTGTACGTATGTATTCATACACCCAAATCTAAAATATATCAAACATTCTGTTTTAAATTTAAGATCCATATTGGATTCTTATTTACCATGTTCAACTCTTGCATCATAATAAACATAGATGAGAAGTCAACAATTAGGTGTGTAAAAAGAGTACTTCTCCTTAAAATCCATCTTTCATGAGAAGGTACAATAACACTCCCCTGCAGTTTTGCACTACTTCTAACCAGCTTCTGAAAATCCTTACGAACACCCTCCCCAAATGGCAGCTTTTACAACATAACTCTATCATGTGTAATGCAGAAACTTTAATCCCTTACAATTTTTTTGGATTTGTTCTGTTTCCCTCATTGTCATTTATACCAAAGAATCAACAGAAAAGAGGTTAAGGAGTTCAATTTGAGCTTGTGCACTTTAGCTTACGTATTCATGAAGACTGGCAATTAAGCATTCATTTATTAAAATGTCAAGGACATTAAAGAGTTGAATCTTGGGTAGTTTATTTCCCTACTTATTTTTCTTAATGAAAAAGTACTACAGAAGTTGCTGTAAGGACAGAATATCCTTGAAATTACCATAATATTCCAGGAAGAACTGAGTTTTAGCAGTAATACTTCTAGGAGAAAAAAACAAAACCAAAAACCAAGCCACAGCAAAATCTTCTCAAAAGGCTTACTGTCTACATACTTCATTGGTGCCTGACTTATTTATGAACCAAAAGTAAAATTATAAAAAATATGAAGGAGACTAAATAAATGATCTGTGACAGAACATTTACTTTTGTTGGTATCTTAGCGATGGGCAGGACCTGAATTTGCCCATGTGCTCCCAGCTGGAGACATGGTCACACAAAAGCAATCCCATTCCTACAAGAATATGGCTCTTCTCCAGCTCAGCTCCAGTGCCTCTGGAGCTGAGCTCTAGTCCTGAACTCCAGGACTACTGTTTTCCTGGCATGGCAGTGCCAAAACACTTCCTTCCCATGTCCCGAATAACTGTTGCACATCAGAAAAAAACACAACAAATAAAAAAGCCATTACAACACAAAACCCACCCCCACATCCCAAATTAAACCAAAAAAAATCAACCCACCAATGCTAAACAAAAAACCTTAAGCTGCTTCAGTGCAGGATCTGCTACAGATAACAGCAACAACTAGCCTTTCGATGACATCAGTGCATGGTCAAGGGAGAAACAACAGAGAAGGGCAGCAGCTGGTGAGAACTAAAGATGACCTTTAATTTTTCACTGAAAAGATGATTTTTTTTTTCCTGAAAATATTCTTTACTCTCATAAGCAAACACACTCTCATCCTAGCATAGCCTTATGTCACCTGCAAGAGTTCTGTTTTCGTTGGCGAACAAAATTAATCTATCTGATGCAATTTATTAGACAATATATTCTGTAAGTCAATTATTTACACAAAGTGCTAAAATTTTGCCCCAAATCTTTGCTAGGGACAAGCTAGACAAAAATAACAACTGTGTCTTGTTGAGGGAAGAAAATTAGTTCTATGGGACACAAAACAAACACGTTTCCCTTTGTAAAGAGAAACACACTATAGTACCTGATACAATAATCAATACATATGATACAACAAGGAGATAATTTTATATTTTACTTAATTAAATGAAAATATCTTCATATAGATCAAGAATTACAGTAAGAGCATTTTTTGTCATATTTACTTGAAAATCTGACCCCCTAAGAAAAAAACAGTATCCTTATGCTCAGCAGTGTGTTTCACTGATACTTCATACAGCTCTAATACTGAAAACTTCAATAAGAAAGCATTTTAGTAACTTGTTCATTTGGAGCTTAACCCATTTTCCATATTCTCTTATACCTGCACAGCTAATGCACTAGCAATTGCAAACAGTTTTTTATAACAACAGATGAACTATTTCAATGCTAATTATTCCTAGTTAAGATTAATTTGAGTTTATCATCACCAGGAAAAGGTAAACATTCTTTACTAAATAAAATCATTGGAACCATTGGCAAACCTACCTTGTGAATTTTAAACAGAACCTCACAGAGGTTATATATTTTTTCAGCTCGTACCCAGTCTAGTGTGCTTACCTATAATATAAAAAAAAATTATCAACATATTCTGTATTTGAAAATCCTGTTCAGATAAAAAAAACAAAAAAGGTTTCACTCATCATTATTCTACTGGATCCTTTAAATACAGACACATCACTACATTTAACATCCAGCATTTAGAAAAGACTGTCAAAAAGTATTAAATTTTTACAGACACAAGAATTAAAAGGTGTTAAATAATTTCATTTTTTCTTTTCCCGGTATGATGGAAATCTCTTTGTAATCTCTATGGTTAGTTACATAAGCATTTTTATTTCTCAAGATGCTAACACAGAGATCTCAGTCTCAGAGTCATTCAGCTTCACGACTCAATATTAAAAAAATCTTATGATCAATAGACCAAGAAGTATTCCTAAATTTAGTTTTGAGTTTACATGCACTAAGGAGGCACTAACTCAATATTTAGTCTAAAAATAGAAAAGGACTTTGTGACTGAAATATTTAAAATCAAGAACAATATCAACTGTGTGCTCAATAATATGAAAACACCTGTTTTTTTTCTTTTGATTTCATTACTTAATCCTGTTGACATGACAGGCTGTAAATATCCAACAGCAAGAATGATGTTTGAAGTTTTTACCAAAATTCTACTTATGATGTGATAATCTGATAATCTGTTTTCTTTTAAAAACAGTACCTAGCCTGCATAGTTCAAGGAAAAAAACAACAGAAGTCATAAACAGGAAAAATTCAACAGGAATATGTATTGTTTTTGCTTACATGTTTTAGAGCAAAATCTAGGCTCTTGGGGAATGCCCAGGAATGGCTGATCAACAGATGATGGATTTGACTAGGTTGTAACTGTGCAGCTTTTGGCATATGGAAGTAAGTGTTTTGGTAACTTTAGTAGTAACTTGGATAATTTAAAATTCTAGGGCTGATACAACTTTCTTATTCCCTCCCCTTACCCAAAAGGAAGAAAACAGTAAAAATAGAAGATTAAAACTATTAACATAAAGAAAAAGTTGTTTGTCAAACATCTTGTATATGTGGATGAAACTGAACAAGAAAAACTATGAAATTCAATAGCAGATTCTTTTTCTCTATGTTCACAGTAGCACATAATTCACTTTTAAAAACATCTAGCATTTCTCCTGATGACTTGCATGGAGACATCGACATGTTCTGGTTCTTTTAAAATTCATTTTAAAGTTTAGTTTTCAAGTCTCTTTAAATTCTAAGCTGAATTGTGATATGTTGATTGTAATAATTTGATGAGAATGCAAACCACTGCAACACTTACAGGCCTCTGATGGGATTTCTGTTGATTATAAAATGCTACTTCAGAATCCTTTGGAGAAGTAATGTGGACTTGGTGTTAGTTTCTTTCTAATCTTAACAATCTGAATTAATTCTTAATAATCTAGCCTTCTCCCAGTTTCTCTTAGTCTTGGATTAATTTTTTGGGATTATTAAATTTAGATATTATGAACCACTACTGAAGTGGGACTGAAGAGATCTGTAAGTTCTAGCGCCACATCTTTTCAGGCTATAGAGGGACTCTATAGGATTCTTCATTTCACAGTTTCTATATCTTAACAATCAAATGGCAAACATCACTTGAATACAATAAATCCACTAGAACATGTAAAACAGGTTACACAGTTTGTTTTATGCTAAGCAAATTAAAGTTAAAAAAAATTAAAGCTCATAATATTACATAGCTAATTTTAAAATTACATGATAAAAGCACGTAGCACTACTTAAACTTTTTCAAATTTAGATCTAATGTCAGCTGGTTTAGAAGTTTAAAGAAATTTTATGTATTAACTTGTCCTCCCATTACTTTATAAAAGGTAGCAATTTTTAAAGACATACCTTTCTATTTTTTAGGTTTTCATTTCTATTTTATTTCTTGTACGTCCATTCAATATTTTATTTGCGTTCTGCAATTTTAAGTATTGTACAAATAACAAATTATTTAAGTTTTGAAACAGAGGACTTATAAAGCTAATTCATCAAGAAATATACATCTAACAGCCTCACAATAGAGTAAGTACTGCAGGTCTTTGCTTAATCTTATTTCCAGGGAAATATTTTGTACTTTGATGGTTGTTTTGAAAAGAAAATAATTAAATAATACATGTTTTACCCCATTACTGTTGATCCTCCAACGGGGTACTCATGCTTCTTACAAAATAAGGTTTAGAGTAGAATGGGGGTAGTTCATTATTTGGTCTTGAATTTCTCAAAGGGAAAGGATCTTTTCCATCTCATCTAACAACAGGAGAACCTTTTATTGCTGTAAGCGGCTAGACACAGAAGTGTAAGTGTTAATTCATTTGCTGTTTTTGAAACTGAGTTTGGTGACATGGGCTGTGACCTGAAAGCTGTTGAGATATGAATGGACTTTAATTTGCTCATACCATTTGTTTTGATTCCTGAAGATTAATTTGAACTGCTGGGGGTTTTTGCACTATTAATAATGGACGAAGGTGACACTGCTGTGCCATTAAATTCATTCTGAATACTTCAGACTTCTTCCCATTATTCCATGCATCTCTTTGATCTTTTGATGCTGTGTAACCTCATATGACTTTTTCAGCATATGCAGGCAGTGACAGTGACAACTGCTGGCACCTTCATAAGCCAAGGTTTTCTTTACCTGTGTATGTCAGAGAAAAGCTACCATACTTACAGAGTGGAACAGTCTGAATACCACTGTGTGCAAGGTGCTCAGAACATAAATGACATGGTGAGAGGAATTTTAAGGAGGCAAAATAAACATATTACAAAAGAATACTAGAATCTAAACAGACAGTTGACATTATTTATAGTTTTATCAGAACTATCATAGTACGTCTAAATTTAAAATGTTACTATTATAGACTGTTTTACTTTCAAAAAACCCACAAATAACCATATCTTCCTAGTCAAGGAGAAAAACTGGAAATAATCAGGGAAGTTCATGAAAATTGCAATATCCTTCATTTGATTCAAAGAATGTTCCAGTTTATTGCAGGTTATCCATCATCACACATGTAATAACTGGGTAATAAGTAAGTAAGATAAATGAGATACTCAAGTATATTTCTTAGGCAATAAAATAGTTTTTCTCATTATTTCCCCTTGGAATTGTTCCTGCAGGTATTCTATACATTGCAATTTCTTGGCATGACAGTATTATTATTTTTTCAAAGCATTTGACAAAACATTTCAAACAGCTGTATTCAGAATAGATGACTTAATAAGACATGCTTGAATTCATATGAATTTAGTTCAGACAGTTTCAGAAATAGTGTCAAAATGCAAGAGAGTTTCAATTAGCATTCAGTAAGCTTCTACTTTAATTCATGCTTGTCAGCTATATCAATTTATGACCAAGAGGAGCTGAAGGTTGTTATTTATATTATTGGCAGACCAACTCCTTAGCTAACCCAGTGCAGTATCTATTGAATATTTGGTTCTGTAGACATTTAGCTATATTAATCCTTTCAGGAACACTGAAAAACTCAGACATTTGTAAAATCACAGGTAACACTGAGCTTATCAGAAAGATAATAAAACCAGAGTTACAAAAAATAGGAACCTGAAATTACAATTCTAAGTGTTTAATGAGGGGCTGAAATAGGTACATGGAGTTACAAAAGTCCAAAGTGTTGCAGAAGTGCTTTTTACTTTAGCATGAGTTTCTGCAATTTCCTCATGGTTTAAAATCAAGCATTACAGTGGAGTTCTGAAAATAAAAAACACTGGTAAAATCTAGCTTTACACAGATCAGGTGATCTCAGCAGCAGTTCAAACTCATATTCTAAATATACTTACCTTTAAATATGTGTGTTAATCATTGACTTTTCTTAAAAAAGTTATGATTTAAAATAAAGAAAAAACAATAAAATTAAACTCATTTTGACACATACATGCAGTAAACAATTAGGTTATGAAGTTACTCCCTAGAAGAGAACTCTGCAATTATAAAATAGGCATAAAAAACTTTCATGCCTTATCAGAGATCACCACTAGATAAAGAAATATGGGGTGAATGTAAAAAGAGACTCATACTCCAAAACTTACTAAAATCAAATTAACATAACATTCTCTTAGACTTTCTCTGAACACAGAATCTGATTCTAGAAGTCTCCAGAGCCCCCCAAAATATTAAAAGCATTTGAATAAATTTAAAGAGTAAAATGTAAGAGGGGAAAAAAGCAAAGTGTGTATAGTATTTATTACTAGAATACAGCAAATGATGCATTATCTGAGAATTAAGCAGAAGCATCCAATCTGCCTAGAAGTATTTAAAAGGTCTAAGGAGAAGATTAAATACTTCTAGGTAAAAAGTAATTAATTTCACTGGTCTCTTCACTCCTAAATGGAAAAAAAATAAACCAAGAATAATTTTAAAAATTATTATAAAGTATTAAGAAGGAAAACAAGAAATCAAGGCCTGTTCCTGAGATAAACTATGATATGGCATAGTAAGAAGCCTAAAGATGCCCCAAACAGCTCAAACTGGGTGATACAAAATGCACACTAAAACACAGTGAAATCCTAGCAAATCCTGTACAGCAGAAATACAGCAAAAATGTGTAGAGTTAGAAAGTTCACCAAAACTGTTCATGGTCAAGTCTAAGCCCTCCAACTTATTTCCACCTTGCTCCTAATACGTTACATTGACATCAAGTGTAGTGTAAATTACCAGCAAAAGTATTTAGAACTTACATGGCAGTATTAAAAACACTGCTTGTCTTAATTACATTGTGCTTCTCTATACTGTCAAATGTGGAACTATTTCTGTTACTTTCACAATATTCCATTTATTCTCTTCTTAAAATTATAAACAGAACATGCATTGATTGTCTATCTGTCTTCATGTTAAATTGCTTCAGTGCTATTTATTTAATCCCATTCAAAAAGATAGTTTTGCAATTAAGGGTTACATAGGAAATGTAAGGATATGGCTATTTGAAGACTAATGCAAAAACATAATGAGCTATAAGGAAAACATAAAAAAATAAAACAGTAGAAATGTTTCCTACATCTAGCCCATAATCCATTAAAACATTAAATTATTTTCTGAGAATTTTCAAAGATATAAAAAATAGCTTTATTTTAAATGACAGTTTAGAATACTTTTCCTAAATTTCTTCTGGGATCTCAATTTAGAACTTTTCCAATATCTGAAAATTGACAGGAATTTTATAGATGCTTTTAGAATATAATACAATACTGCTTGTATATTAAAATTGACACAAGAATAATTTCTATTGTTTCAGTGGTGTTTCCAGTTGTGCAGTTTTCAGAAATGGGTCACACTTCCAATACAGCAGTCTGTAAATGAAACCTGTAAATTTTTTAAATGCAATCAGATAACCCACTTCAGGAATGCAAAAAAGACAATTCTCTGTTAATCACACCATTCTTGATATTTACTTCTGTGGTGAGGCCTCAACATTTCTGGAATTACCATCTGAGATATTGTAGAAATAGTGTATAAATAGAATATTACTTGTCAGAGTGATTTCTTTCATGGTATAATATCCTAATTTTTTCCACAATTTTCTTTATTTTTGCTCATATATAACTATGTTTTCAATTCGTATGAATATCAGCAGCTGTATTTACATTCACATCATTTTTTACACACAATGAAACAGAAAAAGGGTGGAGATTTTACTACATCCTTTTACAAACAGCTGTAAAATTATGGATAAGGATCCTAGAGTGAGCCATGGGGAAGGCGTCAACAAAAGCCAGGGCTGGAGGTGCCCTCAGGAGACTGAGGCTTTAGTGTGGCTTTAGATCCAGGTTTAAAGTCTCCAGAGAGGAGGCTGCTGGAAACTTCTATTTGGGTGTTTAGTTTTTAGGGGTTATTCCCCGATGAAGGACATCTGGGGTATGTTAAAAGAGCAAGAAAACTGGTCAACAAGTTTTACAATTTATAGATTCTGTCACATTTACTGGTGCATCATAGCATTGAGGGGACACAACACATTGATCAAAGGGATCCCCTTTGTTCATTTTTTGAAAGCTAAGGTTCGTACAAAAAAAAATTTAAAAGCGTAATAGATTCTGTCAAGTAATTTATACTACCAATCATCCCCACTTGTCTGTTCTCACTCGAGTGCCGAAAATGGTAAATGAAGTAGTTTATCCCAAATTAGTATCATATAGATGTATAATTTTAATTTCTTAGAAACAGGTCTGAAGACAATAACTAAAATTTATTTAGGAAAATCATTCATATGGTGTATTATTTATTTGTTTAATATTTCTGCATAATTTTCACGTTTTAATTGGACTGTAGTAATTTACTCAAATTTTAGTTCCTTGGTTTAACATATGAAACTCCCAATTTTTAGACAGGGAAATTCCTTGCTTTTCCCAGATGTGTTGTCTCATTTTAAAAAGAATACTGTTGGCCATTTTAGGATGCTGGAATTTAATTGGAATCATTGGATTAGTAATTTCAATCCTGAAAGGGGATATTTTGCTTATTGCATTTCATTGAGGTTCATAAATAACTTTTGAAAAGTATGTATTTCCCCAAGGTACTGCAAAGAGTACACATAAAAGGATCAGATTTTCTTCATATCAGCAGACAAAACTGGGAGACTGAGCACCTTCTGAACAAAACTGTAAGCAAGTGGTATAACTGAAATTGCATTCTAAGTCCACCTTTTAGTCTTTTATGATATGTTTAAGGCAAAGGTTTTCTGGAGAAAAAAGAAAGGATTAATATTATTATGAGTTAAGTATGAGTAATTTTTTTGAACAGTTTAGAATTCTACAGTTCATTTCCATTTCACCCTTCTAAATTAATTTTTAAAAAAATATTAGATAAGCCACCTGTTGTGAAACAGAATTCTTGTCATGAGGTATATAAATTATCAAAGTAAGACTTGTTCAAACTGTACACTTAGTACTTTGATCCCCTGCTTGTGTGAAAAACCCACAATTATCATCCAGTATTATGGATGGTTTATTTCATGATGTATCTTGTCTTTCAGAAAGCAGAGTAACTACCAATTCATTACATCTACAAAATACCTTAGAATAAATAAGGGAAGAAATATTAGGCCTAACCAACCCAAATAAAACCTGACCTTGACAACTTCAAAAAAAAAACATCCCATAAGGAATTCTTTACAATATTCAGATACAGCAAGGTTTTCAGAGGACCTTGAAACAGGCTAAATATCTACAGTTTATTGAAATTCAGTGGCAACTGTGACTTTCACTTACATTGAAATCTTAGCTGAAAACTTCACTTGATAAAGGGAAAAAACCCCAGACATAAGAAACAGGTTTCCATTTACAATGAAAATTACACAAAAATGTAATTTTTTTTTACCGGTGGAGTGCTGAAAATGTAGAAGGATGAACCCTTCAGGGCCAGAAACTTGAATCTGTAGAGCTGAGATGAATCAGTTCCTTCAAGTCTCTCATTTACCCATCCCATATGTATGACCTGTAAAACAAAATAATTGAAAATTAAAGATCTCCTTCTCAGTAGATCATAAGAGTGATTTTAGTAGAACAAGATGCATCATCTACTTTACATTTGCTTTCCAACCATTTCCATATTCTTGAAGTGCACAATGTCATACCAGTGTGTCAGAAGTCCTTGAAGAGACTTAAACTTGTAGTACAGGTAGTCTGAATCTTATCTGAAATAATCCCTGTTTTAAAAGCCACCTAGGCAGGTCAAAGCAGACTCTCATTTGAGCCCACAGAAAACTTACGTGTACTGAAGTAGTTCAGCAGTTTATAAAAACTGTAACAGCTTATCTATAACAGTGCCAAAACTTGGACACACTGACATTTCAATTACATGTACCTCTAAAGAAATACCTCTAAGCAAATCACTAGATTTATCTGAAATCAAACAGTTTTCATCATGCTCATATTTGTAACTGTTAACAAAGTCTTTGTAATACTTGTTGTCTTTCAGAGTTTATATCTTTTTTCATATACACTTTAACACATTTATGTTTTCAAAGAATTAGATATCAAATTCAGTTGGTTACACAACGTTAGCAGTGTTACAATGAATGCCTTTATTTTTCAGATAAATTAATGCTAAGAAAAAATGAAATGAAGAAGTAGAATTGCATGTTTCCCTTTTCAGGTAAATACAAATTTATAAAGGAATGCCATAAATAATAATGCCATAGTGTGGTAGCAGAATATCATGAATGTCTTTACTGAAAAATAACAAAGCAAAAAACATTCCAGGCTCCATTTTGCACACATTAAGAGGATATATTGCTCTTGAAACAGGTACTCAATTCTAGAGTGAATCACCAGTCTGAATTTGCAAGTACTGCTGAGCAGCTTTCTCATTTTCAATGAAGGCTACACTTACAGACAGAAATGAGCTATATGGGGAAGAAATGCCAAAGCACTAGCTAATAGGATGGATGAATGTTCATACTTATGAAAATGTCACAAATTGTTTTCTAATGTTGGTATTCAATGTATCAATTATGTCTTTTGTCAATAAATTTATCAATAAATGAAGAATAAATCAGTATGTTGAACCAGACAATCCTTCTCCATACTGTTCTACTGAGCTCCAGCACTAAAAATTTAAGAAGAACTAAGAAACAGCAAAATAAATACAGCAGCCCTTCCAGTTCTTGATTTGCTATTCTGTAAATTGAATAACTCTCACCAAAACATTGTTTCTGTAGTAGTCAGCAAAAGCGTAGAAACAGGATGTTCAGACACTGCATTACTTTAAAAAAAAAAAAAGATATTATTGTCGATAGTCTACTACAAAGATATTATATATCCAGTTAATTGGGGTCTTAATATCAAGTAACACAGATGAAAAGGATGATATCCAATATAATTTTAGGAGTTTTTACTTTCTTTCTACAAATCTTTCTTATTGACTGCTTTATTTAATGATCATTTAGACCTCAGAAATGGAGAAAGAATAGTTATTCAGTTCAACAAAATCTGTATGGAACAAAAGCAAACAAGTTGGTTGTTACTCAGTAACAAGCTCTCAGTGGTTTACTGGGTTACTGAAATTTTAAACAGATTTTTATTGAAACCTGCCATTTGAAGTTTTCAGGAGTGCTCATAAGGCATTATTCTACAAACTGTTCCTTCTCAGCACTGCTTTCACTACTGTTTGAAAACTGCCCATACATCATTGATATATTAGTTTCTAACATGCTCTGATACACTTTCCAAAAGTTCCTGTAAGAAGAAAATGAGCAATGGCACCCATTACAAGGAGATAAAACAAGTCACTAACAAAATGCAATCCAATCATAGCAGATAAATGAAAGTTCTTATTTGCACTTATTGTTTCCCTACAGCAATAAAGCAGCTAGATGGTGCAATAACTAGAAATTCAACACGTTAAATTTAATAAAGCACTCAGTACATGTTGTATATTGTATTTTTTGTTAAATACTTATGAAAAAGTAAATGATGCAAAACACTCAGGAGGGAATTGAAGTAAGAAAATCAAGTAGATCTCTATGCACAACACATCAGAACAGACAGATACACTTATGTAACTGAAACGGGATAAGAATCTACAAGATATGCCAGATTGACCTACAAGTTAAGAACCAGTGTCATACCATGAGGCACAATGGAACTATAACAAATTAAGAAAGCAAAGAGAAGTACATCTTAAGGCACCTTAAAAAATCATTTTTGGGGGTCTTTTCCAAAACAAGTGGTAGATGGTAAATTTTGAAGTGAACAGCCACTGGGACAGGACTGGGAGGGGGGACAAGCAGTCCTTACAGGTACATAAAGTTTAACTAAAAAAAAAAAAAAAAAAGGGAG